TGGGAGGTCCAGGTACACACACAAAATACTTCCTCCTCTTCCAGTTTAATGTGTTAAAACTACTTTAAGGAAGACAAGAGTTAACACTGCAGCTTACAAAACTGTTTATTGTGTGCAGACTGGTGCTTCGTAATTCTGCTGCTGAATTGAATTCCTAATCATTATATTTATTAAATTATTTTATTTCATTAGTGTGTGCAATATATATATATATATGAAGAGTTCAGATGCAAAAGCCTCTAAATGCCATTTGAAATTTTCTTCTGTAATGACGATTTTTATCAAACTTGTGTATTTAAGTTCAGTAATTTCACTTAAATAACAATTAATAGGAAATTATCATTGCCATTTAAGTGAAATTACTGAACTTAAATATACAAGTTTGGTAAAAATCATCATTAAAGAGGAAAATTTCAAATGGCATTTAGAGGCTTTTGCATCTGAACTCTTCAGATATACAATATTTAAACAAGATAGGTTAAAGGCTTTCTCTGCCTTTAATTATAGAGGTCTTCATGGGATTCGTAAAGTCCTACATTCAGCTGTTTGCTTATGGCAGTGTAACCACAGAGGAATGGAAGAACTATCTGTTCACTTACTTCAAAGACAAGGTGAGAACTAATAGACTATGTACTTGAATATTTGCATGCATCATTTTTTATGCAAATTGCCCAGTTAAGCTCTGTAAAGTAGAAATATACATACTTGTATATTCGTTACAGGTTTTTGTCAAAAAAGACTGCTAATGGAATGTGTCTCATCATTTAGAATCATTAATGATGGGATCAAACTAATATCCTGTGAAAATCACATAAGATTTTATTGGATGTTACATTTTCCACAAATAAAGTATATATTTTTTCCGTTTGGATTATAAAATTGATTAAAATCCCATTAGCTTTTCTTTTAGTTTTTTTTAGTTATTTTAATTTATGTTCATGCCATCTCTTATGTTCTATTAATACAATATTTTTTGTGCTCTATGTCTCTATTTGTTTCTTTGTCAGGTTGACATCTTGAATAAAGTGGACTGGAATGCATGGATGCACACACCAGGAATGCCCCCCGTCAAACCACAGTAAGCACCAGAGCACATTTTCGTTTTGTGTGTGTGGTTCAGGTATTACGTAGTAAGGAAAAAATGTCACCCCATGCAGATAGCAATACCAGAAATCATTAAAAATCATCATGTCTCTGGAAAGTCCACAAAACAATGTGTCTGTGGCCTCTTTGTGCACAGGTATGACACCACTATGGCCGATGCCTGCAGTGCTCTGTGCCAGAGATGGGTGAAGGTGAGTCTTTCTCTCAGAGCTTCTCCAAAGCCACAACTCCTCTAAAACACATGAACGCACACAGCCAGAGCAGAGTCTGCAAAGCGTCAAGTCCTTAAACTACCTCATGTCTCAAAGCACATAACATTACAAAAATAATCAACATAAACAACTTAGAGCTCTGACTTGTACCACCTGACTCCTGCAGATTAATTTCTGCATTGATAGTGTTGACATAGTAACGCGTAATTCTGAGTCCGAGGGCATGAACAGGTCCGAGTAGAGTGTCAAGGGTGCAATCTTAAGCTCATTGTTTTGGTTCGGAAGGAACTGTAAACTGTCTACAAATCTGCATAGCCTTATGAAATGCGCTGACGTGCGGGGTCTGTGAGAGCTGGGTGTGTTGAGGTATGGAAATATGTTTGCAATGATAGGATGTCCTCTCATTGCATTTTTTTTGTCCTGAAATTCAAAACATATATATGTACATTTTGTTTTATATTTTTGTCTTCTACTTCTATTATTGATTGCTATCAGGATGTAAAGAGAGTTTAAGCAGTGTTTTCATTCAAGTGTTTATGAAAAACATGTCCTACCCTACCTTATACTACACCAAAGCTTCTCTAAATTACACTGAGTTTAAGACAAACCCCTCTCTTCCTCTTTCTCTGTGTGTTCGTGCAATTTAGGCAAAAGAAGGGGACCTTACGAGTTTCACTGAGGCAGATGTGAAGCAATTAAACTCTCCTCAACTCATTGAGTTTGTGGCTCTGTTACTCCAAGAGGTACCAAATATGTTAAAACGTTTTTAAAGATCTAATTTAGTCTGTCCCCATTATGTTGATGCTGAATAAGTAATGCTGTACCTTATCAAACACAACTTTGCACTTCAGATCAAAAGACCGAGAGGAACAGAAATCAGAATTAGTCTTGTAATGTGTCTGTCTGTTTCCTCCATGCATTGCCTGTAATCAGGAGCCCCTTCCTCTGTCCCATGTGAAGAAGATGCAGGAGGTCTACCAGCTGAACAGTGTTAAAAACTCAGAGGTTCGCTTCAGGTAAGCAGCAGACCTGTTTCTTTCAATGATGTGATTATCACATATTTCAGTATTTCATGTGGAATTGTTTGTGTTTGTGCAGGTGGTTGCGTGTCTGTGTGAGGGCACATTGGGAGGAAGCTGTTCCCCTGGCGCTGAAGATGGCTACCGAACAGGGCAGAATGAAATTCACTCGCCCGCTCTTTAAGTAAATTCATTAATTTGTTCTGAGAAGTCCATGATTAGACCAAAACAACAATAAGCGACTCCACCTTCACTTGTTGAAAATGGACCAAAAGGAAACAGGATGTCACAGAAAATTTTGTAATTTCCTTGCTGACATGAGCAACATTTCGAACGTTTCATTGACTCGACTTCTGTTTTTATTGTTGAGAGCTCTTCAAGACTATTTTAAAAGCACACTTGCTGACCTCGTTTCTCTCTCTCTCTTTCCCTCTTAGGGAAGTTTACAACTTCTCCAAGTACAGCGACGAGGCAGTGAAGACTTTTAAGGAGCACCGTGGAGCGTTACACCCCGTCACAGCGATGCTCGTGGCCAAGGATCTGAAAATCGATGGCTAAAACGCTGCATTTTGACCGTCTTATGTGCAGGCAGTGTTTCTGTGCTTCAGCTTAGTCCTCAGATGCAAACCTGCAAATCAGGTTAATGTTCAGAACGTTTTTCACATTGGCCGAAGCTTGGCTTTTTAATGTCTTGAAAGTTTCAGTCTCAGGGCTTACAACAAAAAATGTGGAGTTTCAGTATCATGCAGTTTGGTGTTAAGAAAATGTGCATATCTTGCTATATCGCTTTATGTGATGTGTCAAAAGTAATGTTCTGTAATAAACTCCTCTTTACAAGAAGTTTCTACTCTATTGTCCAATATCAAGCATGTCTTGATACAGAATAAGGTGTATGACACATAAACAGATGTATTCCATGCTCAATATGCAAATGTTTTTCTTTTGAAACAACAAGTCTTTAAGTTGCACAATTCAACAAATCGTAAAATGGCCTTTTTGGACCTTTTTGAACAAAATGTACTCGCATCCCTTCCCTACCCATTTAGGTTCATCACTTGCTTATCAAAAAGAAAATGATGGGAACCCACAACTCAACATCGAGAGAATATAAAACGTTATCTGCTGAACGTCATAAGCTGGAAAGAACTCTTGAGGAATTACTTGCATAGATCTAGGTTCTTTCCATAGTTGATCCTTAAGCACAGACACAATTATAAACAATTGAATTATAAATTATAAATTTGATACAATAATACATAAGCTGACTTAAAATGGGCAAAGTGTGTAAATAGGCTTTGTTTAAGTTTAGCGATGACTAAATTGATAATAACCTAATTAATCTAACTTAACCAGAGTAAGTTAACTTGATTAGTTACTTTTAACTTACCTAATCATTAGTTAGACTAGTTAAGCTACTAAGTAACTAGTTAAGTTAAAGTAATTTGTGTGTTTCGCCCTCCTGTGGTGATTTGTGTGAATTACACTGCAGCAAATCTTAAACTTGATTTGCAACGGTGTAATTCACACAAATCACCACAGGAGGGCGAAACACTTTTATGTTTATTAAACTTGATTTGCAGTGGTGTAATTCACACAAATCACCACAGGAGGGCGAAACACTTTTCTGTTTATTTGACCCGATTTGCAATGGTGTAATTCACACAAATCACCACAGGAGGGTGCAACACTTATGTTTATTAAACTTGGTTTGCAATGGTGTAATTCACACAAATCACCACAGGAGGCGCAACATTTTTATTTTTATTAGACCTGATTTGCAATGGTGTAATTTACACAAATCACCACATGAGGGTACAACACTTTCATGTTTAATAAATTTGATTTGCAACGGTGTAATTCATACAAATCACCACAGGAGGGCGCAACACTTTTATGTTTATTAGACTCGATTTGCAACGATGTAATTTACAAAAATCACCACAGGAGGGCGCAACACTTTTATTTTTATTAGACCTGATTTGCAATGGTGTAATTTACTCAAATCACCACAGGAGGGCGCAACACTTTTATTTTTATTAGACCCGATTTGCAATGGTGTAATTTACACAAATCACCACAGGAGGGTGCAACACTTTTATGTTTATTAAACTTGATTTGCAACGATGTAATTCACACAAATCACCACAGGAGGGCAAAACACTTTTATGTTTATTAAACTTGGTTTGCAATGGTGAAATTTACACAAATCAACACAGGAGGGTGCAACACTTTTATGTTTATTAAACTTGATTTGCAATGGTGTAATTCAGACAAATCACCACAGGAGGGCACAACACTTTTATGTTTATTAGGCTCGATTTGCAACGATGTAATTCACACAAATCACCAAAGGAGGGCCCTCCACTTTTATTTTTATTAGACTCGATTTGCAACGGTGTAATTCACACAAATCACCACAGGAGGGCGCAACAATTTTATGTTTATTAGACTCGATTTGCAACGATGTAATTCATACAAATCACCACAGGAGGGCGCAACAGTTTTATTTTTGTTAAACCCGATTTGCAATGGTGTAATTTACACAAATCACCACAGCAGGGCGCAACACTTTTATGTTTATTTATTTAGCAGAATGACAGAAACCGAAGCGCAATTTTACTCCGCTCCACTAGGCGGCGTGTGCGGGCATCACTGTCAGAGCGACTCCTTTGATGACAGACACTACAACATGTGCAGATGACAGCCACACAACTGGACATATTTCAGTAAATAAACCGACAGTGCGATAACATGCAGGAATTGGGTGTCATTTAACTTCTCGGTAAGTAACTTTGGACATAAAGTGAATTTCTTTTGTAAAATGATATCGCGACGCTTTTATGTTTTGTTATATTTTTCGCTGATGCATCATTCTGCTGAAATGTCATCATAGCAGGGCTCGTCAGTGTAATGTTCATGGTGTCTGTAAACTAAATGTTGTTTAAGCTTGTTATGAAAGCATTCGCGTCTTCTATAAAAAGAGAAAAACTCTTATTTTTCTGAACACACACTAAGACCTTCAGAAGAGGAAATTAATCGGGTGTCGCTTTACATTTTTAATCAGAATGATAAGGAATGCTGTTTTTAGTGTGTGTTGTTGTTATTGTAGTCTTACTGTAGGTAATATACTGGATTGATGTTTGTTAATAGAGTCAGTTGCTCTGATGTTTCTGCTGCTTCATGCTTGTGTAGAGCTCAAGTGATTTTACTTCTAATGAAAACCATCATACATACAGTCCAGAACAGAAAAGAACAGGGTTAAAACCGTGTGCAGGAAACAGCCTTTTAGGATTACTGTACATTTAAAACTTCAGCTAGTCCCAATTATGGTTCAATCACGTAAGCTACACCAGTTATTTTGTCAAGAGATTTCTTGTTTATTTTTGTGTTACATTGATGTGTCATTGCACACAATACTTCTATGCAAGCTAAACTATAGCTCATCCCTAATCTCTCCTCAGCAAACATACACAAACACACTCTGTTTTCTCAAAATATAATTTAAATAATTGTATACTTTTAATGTATACAATTTCCTTCTATTGCCTAGTCTTTAGACTAACTTTCACATTCTCATTTATAGATGTAGAATATATAGAGTATTTCTAAAACTATCTTTTTAATCTTAAAAAAAAAAATAATATTCTTTTTTGTTCTTGTCTTTCCTTACAGAAGGAATGTGTTTGGACCATTACATCCAGTCATCAGAAGCAGAGCTGTGGGACGTGTGGACAGACATTGGCTGTAATGATGGACTTCTGCTGATGGACAGGTAATGTAAATGCTTGTTTTACTGTACTAAACATGTAGGTTCCCATCATTTTCTTTTTGGAGGGTGACCCCTTTAAAAAGCAAATGATGGGAACCTAAATAGGTGGGGAAGGGACGGCGGGGCAAAATTTTTAGACAGCTAAATTTTTATTGTATAAAAAAGCATAACCCCTGCTGTCCATTGTGGCGGGGCTCGGGGGGGGACCCGAATCATCCCCGCCCCTTCACACATACAGCATTCTCTCGTATCGCGGAGATCTGGCTGGGATCGAACCAGCAACCTCTGAACCCGTGAGGCAGCGCTCTTACCTGTGAGCCACAGATCTCTTGCTGATACATGTGCTGGAACTTATATTTCACTCTTCGAGTCCTGCGATTTTACAATAAATCATGCTGAGGTGGGGATCGAACCCACGTCTCCAGTGCAACCCATCAGCCGAGATCGTGTGTTGAGCCACTGCACCACTGTGGCTTTCACACTGAGATCTGGTGTTTTGGCCACTTTGTTTGATTTCATCACATCAATTTTGCGCTCAATTCTCATTTACTAAAGGAAAGCCTTTGTGCTTAACTGTTCACACACTCATATCGCAGAGACCCGGCTGGGATCGAACCAGCAACCTCTGAACCCGTGAGGCAGCGCTCTTACCTGTGAGCCACAAATCTCTTGCTGAGACATGTGCTGGAACTTGTATTTCAGTGTTATCCTGAGAGTTTCCAATAAAGCAGTTAAAGTGAGATTTGAACCCAATAGCTTAGCTGGGATTTGAACCTTAACTTCAGCGCACCCTTACCTTCACAGAACATGTATTTAACCACTGCACCACTGTGGTTTTCACTCTGAGAGCTGGTGTTTTGTCCACTTTGTTTGATATAACAACTATTGATAACAATTTTATTTAAATTATGGGGACCAAAAATGCTGAGATGGGATTTGAACCTTAACCTCAGCGCATCCTTACCTTCACAGAACATGTGTTTAACCACTGCACCATTGTGGTTTTCACTCTGAGAGCTGGTGTTTTGTCCACTTTGTTTGATAAAACAACTATTGATAACAATTTTATTTAAATTATTGGGACCAAAAATGCTGAGATGGGATTTGAACCTTAACCTCAGCGCATCCTTACCTTCACAGAACATGTGTTTAACCACTGCACCACTGTGGCTTTCACGCTGAGAGTTGGTGTTTTGGCCACTTTGTTTGATAAAACAACTATTGATAACAATTTTATTTAAATTATTGGGACCAAAAATGCAGAGATGGGATTTGAACCTTAACCTCAGCGCATTCTTACCTTCACAGAACATGTGTTTAACCACTGCACCACTGTGGCTTTCATGCTGAGAGTTGGTGTTTTGGCCACTTTGTTTGATAAAACAACTATTGATAACAATTTTATTTAAATTATTGGGACCAAAAATGCTGAGATGGGATTTGAACCTTAACCTCAGCGCATCCTTACCTTCACAGAACATGTGTTTTACCACTGAACCACTGCGGCTTTCGCTTTGAGAGTTGGTGTTTTGGTCAGTAGTGCATAGATCAGTAGTGCATAGATATATGCAGCATAGATATAGAACAGTGCTATATCTATGATGCATATATCTATGCACTAATGAGGGGGGCGCCAAGTCCGGAGAATTCGCGGGGAATTCGCGGAGAATTCGGGGACTTGGCGCCCCCAGGTTCCAGCGTCATTAGTGTATAGACATATGCAGCATAGATATATACATGATATATACATATCATGCATAGATATATGCAGCATAGATATAGCACTGTTCTATATCTATGCTGCATATATCTATGCACTACTGATGGGGCGTATGCAGCATAGATATCTACACAGTGTCGTCTTTAGTGGCTCAGTGGTAGCAATACCGGCTCTGAAGCGAGAGGTTGCCGGTTCTGTTCCTACTTCTTCTTGCGTTTAGATGTGCAGTGGTTAAAAACATGTTCTGTGAAGGTAAGGATGCGCTGAGATTAAGGTTCAAATCCCAGCTAAGCTATTTTGGTCCCAATAATTTAAATAAAATTGTTATCAATAGTTGTTTTATCAAACAAAGTGGCCAAAACACCAACTCTCAAAGCGAAAGCCGCAGTGGTTCAGTGGTTAAACACATGTTCTGTGAAGGTAAGGATGCGCTGAGGTTAAGGTTCAAATCCCATCTCAGCATTTTTGGTCCCAATAATTTAAATAAAATTGTTATCAATAGTTGTTTTATCAAACAAAGTGGCCAAAACACCAACTCTCAGCGTGAAAGCCACAGTGGTGCAGTGGTTAAACACATGTTCTGTGAAGGTAAGGATGCGCTGAGGTTAAGGTTCAAATCCCATCTCAGCATTTTTGGTCCCAATAATTTAAATAAAATTGTTATCAATAGTTGTTTTATCAAACAAAGTGGCCAAAACACCAACTCTCAGCGTGAAAGCCACAGTGGTTCAGTGGTTAAACACATGTTCTGTGAAGGTAAGGATGCGCTGAGGTTAAGGTTCAAATCCCATCTCAGCATTTTTGGTCCCAATAATTTAAATAAAATTGTTATCAATAGTTGTTTTATCAAACAAAGTGGCCAAAACACCAACTCTCAAAGCGAAAGCCGCAGTGGTTCAGTGGTTAAACACATGTTCTGTGAAGGTAAGGATGCGCTGAGGTTAAGGTTCAAATCCCATCTCAGCATTTTTGGTCCCAGTAATTTAAATAAAATTGTTATCAATAGTTGTTTTATCAAACAAAGTGGACAAAACACCAGCTCTCAGAGTGAAAACCACAGTGGTGCAGTGGTTAAACACATGTTCTGTGAAGGTAAGGATGCGCTGAGGTTAAGGTTCAAATCCCATCTCAGCATTTTTGGTCCCCATAATTTAAATAAAATTGTTATCAATAGTTGTTATATCAAACAAAGTGGACAAAACACCAGCTCTCAGAGTGAAAACCACAGTGGTGCAGTGGTTAAATACATGTTCTGTGAAGGTAAGGGTGCGCTGAAGTTAAGGTTCAAATCCCAGCTAAGCTATTGGGTTCAAATCTCACTTTAACTGCTTTATTGGAAACTCTCAGGATAACACTGAAATACAAGTTCCAGCACATGTATCAGCAAGAGATTTGTGGCTCACAGGTAAGAGCGCTGCCTCACGGGTTCAGAGGTTGCTGGTTCGATCCCAGCCGGGTCTCTGCGATATGAGTGTGTGAACAGTTAAGCACAAAGGCTTTCCTTTAGTAAATGAGAATTGAGCGCAAAATTGATGTGATGAAATCAAACAAAGTGGCCAAAACACCAGATCTCAGTGTGAAAGCCACAGTGGTGCAGTGGCTCAACACACGATCTCGGCTGATGGGTTGCACTGGAGACGTGGGTTCGATCCCCACCTCAGCATGATTTATTGTAAAATCGCAGGACTCGAAGAGTGAAATATAAGTTCCAGCACATGTATCAGCAAGAGATCTGTGGCTCACAGGTAAGAGCGCTGCCTCACGGGTTCAGAGGTTGCTGGTTCGATCCCAGCCAGATCTCCGCGATACGAGAGAATGCTGTATGTGTGAAGGGGCGGGGATGATTCGGGTCCCCCCCCGAGCCCCGCCACAATGGACAGCAGGGGTTATGCTTTTTTATACAATAAAAATTTAGCTGTCTAAAAATTTTGCCCCGCCGTCCCTTCCCCACCTATTTAGGTTCCCATCATTTGCTTTTTAAAGGGGTCACCCTCCAAAAAGAAAATGATGGGAACCTACATGTTTAGTACAGTAAAACATAAGCATGTACATACCTGTCCATCAGCAGAAGTCCATCATTACAGTCAATGTCTGTCCACACGTCCCACAGCTCTGCTTCTGATGACTGGATGTAATGGTCCAAACACATTCCTTCTGTAAGGAAAGACAAGAAAAAAAAGATTAGTTTTAGAAATACTCAATATTCTACATCTATAAATGACAATGTGAAAGTTAGTCTAAAGACTAGTTAATAAAAGGAAAGTGGAATAAATTAAAAGCCTAAAGTTGTACAGTGTGAAAATATATTACTATTATAATAATATAGTATAGTTCAGTAAGGCTGTATCAATAATAATCTATGATTTGAATTACAGTTTTACAGGCTACAAATGGACACAAACGCTGAATAGAAATAAAGCCTTCGGTGCGAGCGCTGACGCTTGATGCTTAAACATGTACACTGTAAAGAACTGCCCAAGTGGAGTTATAACTTTAAGATGAAACCTTCCTTCACACAACAGTAACCCTAAAAGACATGTTCCTGCACAAGGATTGATCCTGATAGTTTTCATTAGAAGAAAGGCACTGCATCTCTACGATACAATACAAGCAGCACACACACACACTCTCACACACACACACACACACACACACACACACACACACACACACACACACATCAACTGATTCTAATAACACGCATCAATCCACTAGATTATTATTACATAAAGTAAGACAACTAATAACAAAAGAGACTAGAAACAATTGCTTATTATTCTACTTCACTACACATAAATCAGAGGACGATTCATTTGAATCTTATACATGTAACAACAACTAGAGATTCAACTTAATCACCGTCTTACAGGCCACACACAATTATAAAAACACTGAACACACAGAACTAAAAACTAACTCCCCATTCACAGAAAGCCAAACCTACAAAACATCAGAACAATATTAGAAATGCTATGCAAAGAAAACCAATTGCAAAGTGTCTAGTCACTGCTCTTTACTTGTATTGTTTCATGCTTGTAGTAATACTGTGACATTTTAATTGCATACCATTCTAAAGGCAGTTTTCACTCTCAGATCCCAGTCATAACAGGAAGTAGAATAAAAGCAGGAAGCAACAGGAGAACATCAGAGCTTCACACAAGACACAACTCCTGCTGACTCTCACATACACCCAGAAAACACTGCAATATCAACTGAGTCCTTCTTATTACACTTTACAGTGTGAATATCAGAGGGCGATTCATTCAAAGATTAAAAAGGTAACGCTACAATAGCGACTGACAAGAGAACTTGACTTCATGCTAAAGTAAAAGTTACTTACAGGTGAGTCTTGTGCCGTACTCGGTTCCTCATTTATGTGTCGTTTGATTGCGTCGGTTTTATTTGCGGTTGAGCTGTAATATGTGCTGTTAAAGTGACATTAAGAGCTGTCATCTTCCTATCTGCAGTATCTGCTCGCGTTGTTGTGATTGTCATCAAGTGTCATGTTGTCAAGCAGCAGAAGCGTCAGACTGAAGGAGAACCCGCTTCTGCCGCCTTGAGGAGCGGAGGAAAACTGCACTTTACTCTCGTCGGATCACATCTGAGACTTTGGATTAAAGTTCCTGTGAAATTACAGCAGCAACATGTTTGACAAGCTCTGTGGTGCAGAAAATAATGATTTCCTTTGAATGAGAAAGTCTAGTTTTTTGTATATATACATATGTGTGTGTGTGTGTGTAACGTTATGTATGTATGTATTTTAACATAAGGACAGAACAGAGAAGACAGAAGAAATTTGCAGCGGTGTAATTCACACAAATCACCACAGGAGGGCGAAACACTTATGTTTTTTTAGATTCGATCGGACTCGGTTTGCAACGGTGTGATTCACACAATCACCAGTTTTCTTTTACTCTCTATATGTAATTCACACAAATCACCACAGGAGGGCACACCACTTATGTTTTTTAGACTCGATTTGCAGCGGTGTAATTCACACAAATCACCACAGGAGGGCACACCACTTATGTTTTTTAGACTCGATTTGCAGCGGTGTAATTCACACAAATCACCACAGGAGGGCGACACTCTTACGTTTATTAGACTTGATTTGCAATAGTGTAATTCACACAAATCACCACAGCAGGGCGAAAATAATTTTAGATCTGACTTTTTTTGCATGTATATTTATATAGACAGACGATAGGACACAACACGCACACTGATACAGTTGATACAAAGAATAACTTAAAAATAAAATCATTTTATAAAGAATAGATCTGAGTAGTCAATGAATTATTAATCAATGACAATAATCTTTAACATACGCTAAGAACCTTAAACTTGAAATCTAAAACAACATCATTGATTCACAGTCTCTGCGGCTCAGTGGATAGTTGTCAACCTCACCAACCAGACAGTCCTGGTTCAAATCCCAGGTTTCAGATCCATGTTTGTTAAAGTTATTCATCATTTAATACACAAATCTGGATCAAACCGGTTGAAAACGCTCTTCATCTCAGCAGACTCAGTGGCTCAGGAGAGAAAGAGTTGTGTTTCAATCACAGCGTCCTGAGTTCAAGTCCCACTATTGCTGACTTTCAATAGTTCTCATTAGACAAGGGGCCCCAAAACCAGCTGTCAACGTGAAATCCATGATGGGCGAGCGGATAAACACACACTCTCTGAGGACAAGACTGATGAAGACGTGGGTTCGAATCTCACTTTAACTGCTTTATTGGAAACTCTCAGGATAACAGTGAAATATAAGTTCCAGCACATCATCAGCACGAGATCTGTGGCTCACAGGTAAGAGCGCTGCCTCACGGGTTCAGAGGTTGCTGGTTTGATCCCAGCCAGATCTCTGCGATAGGAGTGGATGTTGTGTGAGTGGCGCGCCCAAAGGAGGGGGATACCAGTACGGTCTCCCCCCGGAGCTTCCGGGACAGTCAGCAGCAGGGGTTATGCTTTTTGGAAACAAGGAAAAAAAATATTTTTTTTTTTTATATAAAAATTTCGCCTCCTCGTCCCTTCCCCACCCGCTTAGGTTCCCATCATTTGCTTTTCAAAGGGGGAGGCCCTTCAAAAAGAAAATGATGGGAACCTACATGTTTAGTACAGTAAAACAAGCATTTACATTACCTGTCCATCAGCAGAAGTCCATCATTACAGCCAATGTCTGTCCACACGTCCCACAGCTCTGCTTCTGATGACTGGATGTAATGGTCCAAACACATTCCTTCTGTAAGGAAAGACAAGAAAAAAAAGATTAGTTTTAGAAATACTCAATATTCTACATCTATAAATGACAATGTGAAAGTTAGTCTAAAGACTAGTTAATAAAACGAAATGGAATAAATTAAAAGCCTAAAGTTGTACAGTGTGAAAATATATTACTATTATAATAATATAGTATAGTTCAGTAAGGCTGTATCAATAATAATCTATGATTTGAATTACAGTTTTACAGGCTACAAATGGACACAAACACTGAATAGAAATAAAGTCTCTGGTGCGAGCGCTGACGCTTGATGCTTAAACATGTACACTGTAAAGAACTGCCCAAGTGGAGTTATAACTTTAAGATGAAACCTTCCTTCACACAACAGTAACCCTAAAAGACATGTTCCTGCACAAGGATTGATCCTGATAGTTTTCATTAGAAGAAAGGCACTGCATCTCTACGATACAATACAAGCAGCAGACACACACTTCACACACTCACACACACATCAACTGATTCTATTAACACGCATCAATCCACTAGATTATTATTACATAAAGTAAGACAACTAATAACAAAAGAGACTAGAAACAATTGCTTATTATTCTACTTCACTACACATAAATCAGAGGACGATTCATTTGAATCTTATACATGTAACAACAACTAGAGATTCAACTTAATCACCGTCTTACAGGCCACACACAATTATAAAAACACTGAACACACAGAACTAAAAACTAACTCCCCATTCACAGAAAGCCAAACCTACAAAACATCAGAACAATATTAGAAATGCTATGCAAAGAAAACCAATTGCAAAGTGTCTAGTCACTGCTCTTTACTTGTATTGTTTCATGCTTGTAGTAATACTGTGACATTTTAATTGCATACCATTCTAAAGGCAGTTTTCACTCTCAGATCCCAGTCATAACAGGAAGTAGAATAAAAGCAGGAAGCAACAGGAGAACATCAGAGCTTCACACAAGACACAACTCCTGCTGACTCTCACATACACCCATAAAACACTGCAATATCAACTGAGTCCTTCTTATTACACTTTACAGTGTGAATATCAGAGGGCGATTCATTCAAAGATTAAAAAGGTAACGCTACAATAGCGACTGACAAGAGAACTTGACTTCATGCTAAAGTAAAAGTTACTTACAGGTGAGTCTTGTGCCGTACTCGGTTCCTCATTTATGTGTCGTTTGATTGCGTCGGTTTTATTTGCGGTTGAGCTGTAATATGTTCTGTTAAAGTGACATTAAGAGCTGTCATCTTCCTATCTGCAGTATCTGCTCGCGTTGTTGTGATTGTCATCAAGTGTCATGTTGTCAAGCAGCAGAAGCGTCAGACTGAAGGAGAACCCGCTTCTGCCGCCTTGAGGAGCGGAGGAAAACTGCACTTTACTCTCGTCGGATCACATCTGAGACTTTGGATTAAAGTTCCTGTGAAATTACAGCAGCAACATGTTTGACAAGCTCTGTGGTGCAGAAAATAATGATTTCCTTTGAATGAGAAAGTCTAGTTTTTTGTATATATATGTGTGTGTGTGTGTGTGTAACGTTATGTATGTATGTATTTTAACATAAGGACAGAACAGAGAAGACAGAAGAAATTTGCAGCGGTGTAATTCACACAAATCACCACAGGAGGGCGAAACACTTATGTTTTTTAGATTCGATCGGACTCGGTTTGCAACGGTGTGATTCACACAATCACCACTTTTCTTTTACTCTCTATATGTAATTCACACAAATCACCACAGGAGGGCACACCAATTATGTTTTTTAGACTCGATTTGCAGCGGTGTAATTCACACAAATCACCACAGGAGGGCACACCACTTATGTTTTTTAGACTCGATTTGCTGCGGTGTAATTCACACAAATCACCACAGGAGGGCACACCACTTCTGTTTTTTAGACTCGATTTGCAGCGGTGTAATTCACACAAATCACCACAGGAGGGCGACACTCTTTTATGTTTATTACACTTGATTTGCAACGGTGTAATTCACACAAATCACCACAGGAGGGCGAAACATTTCTAAGTTAATTTAGACTCGATTTGCAACTGTGTAACTCACACAAATGACCACAAGAGGGCGAAACACTTTTATGTTCATTTAGACTCGATTTGCAACGGTGTAATTCACACAAATCACCACAGGAGGGCGAAACATTTTTAAGTTTATTTAGACTCGATTTGCAACGGTGTAATTCACACAAATCACCACAGGAGGGCGAAACACTTTTACATTCATTGGACTTGTACACACACACACACATACATACATACAAAAATACTAGGCTTTCTCATTCAAAAGCAAATCATTATTTTCTGCACCACAGAGCTTGTCAAACATGTTGCTGCTGCAATTTTACAGGAACTTTAATCCAAAGTCTCAGATGTAACTAATGTAATTAAACTTTAATTTAACTGCATCATCTCCACTGTCTCAGTGGCTCAGGAGATAAAGCATTGCATTTCAATCACAGTGTTCTGAGTTCAAATCACACTATTGCTGACTTTCACTTGTTCTCATTAGACAAGGAGTCCCCAAAACCAGTTGTTGTTGTAAAATCCATGGTTGAGTGGATAAACACTCTCTGAGGACAAGACTGTGATGAAAACATGGGTTCAACTCTCACTTTAACTGCTTTATTGGAAACTCTCAGGATAACACTGAAATATAAGTTCCAGCACATGTCTTGAAAGATATCTGTGGCTCACAGGTAAGAGCGCTGCCTCACGGGTTCAGAGGTCTCTGTGATGGGAGTGTGTGTGAGCAGCAGGTGCTTGAAGGAGAAGGAAACCAGTACAGTCTCCAATGGTGTAATTCACACAAATCACCACAGGAGGGTGACACTCTTTTATTTTTATTACAATTGATTTGCAATGGTGTAATTCACACAAATCAGGGCGCAACACTTATGTTTTTAGACTTGATTTGCAACGGTGTAATTCACACAAATCACCACAGGAGGGCGACACTCTTTTATGTTTATTACACTTGATTTGCAACGGTGTAATTCACACAAATCACCACAGGAGGGCGAAACATTTCTAAGTTAATTTAGACTCGATTTGCAACTGTGTAATTCACACAAATGACCACAAGAGGGCGAAACACTTTTATGTTCATTTAGACTCGATTTGCAACGGTGTAATTCACACAAATCACCACAGGAGGGCGAAACATTTCTAAGTTAATTTAGACTCGATTTGCAACTGTGTAATTCACACAAATGACCACAAGAGGGCGAAACACTTTTATGTTCATTTAGACTCGATTTGCAACGGTGTAATTCACACAAATCACCACAGGAGGGCGAAACATTTGTAAGTTTATTTAGACTCGATTTGCAACGGTGTAATTCACACAAATCACCACAGGAGGGCGAAACACTTTTACATTCATTGGACTTATATTGTTTTGTTGTTTTTATTTGCAAATATATCTATTTGAATTTTGAACAGAAGACAGGACGGAACATAGATAGTGTAAATAGTTCTGTTTGGAAGTTCATATGTTTTTCTCCTCTCACCCTCTTACAGAAGTCTAGCGCATTTACACTAGCTCGTTAGACGATGTAGTTTACATAGATCTCCGCTGATGGGTTAAGCTGATTCTCGGGAATAAGACTGAATTAGCAAGGCCTACAATCACCACATGAGGGGGCAACTCTTTTATATTTATTAGAATTGAGGTGCAATGGTTTAATTCACACAAATCACCACAGGAGGGCGACCCCCGTTTTACATTCTTTGGACTTATATTGTTTTGGTGTTTTTGTTTGCAAACATATCTATTTGAATTTTGAACAGAAGACAGGACGGAACATAGATAGTGTAAATAGTTCTGTTTGGAAGTTCGTTTTTCTCCTCTCACCCTCTTACAGAAGTGTAGCGCATTTACACTAGCTCGTTAGACGATGTAATTCACGAAGATCTCGGCAGGTGGGTTAAGCCGATTTGCGGTAATATCACCACAAGAAGGTGAAACACTTTTGTGTTTATTTAGACTCGATTTGCAACGGTGTAATTCAGACAAATCACCATAGGTGGGCAAAATATTTTTAAGTTTATTTAGACTCTATTTGCAAAGGTGTAATTCACACAAATCACCACATGAGGACATTTTTATTTACCAAAAATTGACAGATAAGAGTGGAAGAGCCAGTGGCTTAGTGGTCTGAGCGTTAGATCTTGGCGTGGGCAATCCAGGTTCAAATCTCTCTCTTGTGGTGTTTAGTTTCATTGGTTTTTCAACAAATAAAAAGGCAAAAGTACCAAAAATTGATGCATCAGAGTGCAAGTGCTGGTGGCTTAGTGGTCTGAGCGGTAGAGCTTGTTGTGGGCAACCCAGGTTCGAGTCTCTCTCTTGTGGTGTTTAGTTTCATTGGTTTATCAACAAATAAAAAAGACAAAATTACCAAAAATTGGTGAGTAAGAGTGGAAGTGCTGGTGGCTCAGTGGTCTGAGTGTTTGATCTTGGTGTGGGCAACCCAGGTTCAAATCTCTCTCTTGTCGTGTTTAGCTTCAATGGTTTTTCAACAAATAAAAAAGACAAAATTACCAAAAATTCATAAGTAAGAGTGGAAGTACCAGTGGCTCAGTGGTCTGAGCATGTCCTCCTGGGGTCAGAAGGATCTGGGTTCAAACCCCAGCCTGGTATGTGAAGCATGGTTGCGTGAAGGACATCCAGTCGTGAGCTGTGACAAGCTGCAAAACTGAGCGGATCAGGTCATGACCAGGATGAGAGAAGGCAGGACACGAAGGGGGGAGTACATATCCAAACCGCTCCCCCTGGGACTTCCAAGACAATCTCGAGCAGCGGTTATGTAAAAGGAGTCCAAATTTTCGAAAAATTACTTGTAAAATTTTTCCCAAAAAAGCCTAAGTCAGCATTTTGGGCATGGCTTATGGACACTCCCCCTTTTGGGCGTGGCTTATGGACACTCCCCCCATCTGGGCGTGGCTTATGGACACTCCCCCCATCTGGGCGTGGTTTATGGACACTCCCCTTTTGGGCGTGGCTTATGGCCACTCCCCTTTACTGTTGATTGTACCTGCACTCCATCAAGGTTCAAATCTCAGCTGTTGCTTTCTCTGGGGAAACCAACCAGCACTTGAAAGGCGTTCCCACTTACACACATGCTGAAAAATTCAGACTACAAATACATTAATAAACTGGATTTCTAATGAGGAAATCTTAACTGGTCTGTTTTATCTTGGCAATCATTAAATTGCAAATCAGTCACAGCTTGTCCAAATTAATAGACAAACTAAACCACGTGGGCCACACATCATCTGAATAATTAGTTAATTGACTGAGCAACAGAGTCAGTAACAGGAGGTGTTGATGTTTAGAAAGCCAAGATCAGCTGGAAATCATGAACAGCACACAAATGTCACATTTACCATTTTATTGGACACAAACTTAAGTAGATCATTGTCAAAAACATGCCAGTTCAAAACAGAAACAGGTTGAGTCAGGAAAAGGCTCAGATGCATAACAGTTCGGCGGTTGCTCCTCTCAAAATACTCCATGCAAAGTCACTCACTGCTTTTCCTCATGACCTCCAGCAGCTCAAACCAAGAGATCCCTACAAACAGACAGCAGTGAGACGATCAGAAACACTTCAAATTTCACTAATAACTTCCCCTAGGAAGCTACAAATCTCAGAAAGAAACAAAGTGATTGTTTATAGAATAAATATAGATCATAGGAGGTGAAAATGCATGCTCATTTTATGAGCAATTAAACCAATGCAACAGCATCTGTAAGATATCAATCAAGCTACAAAATAGAATTAAATGTCACTTTGATGATAATCCAAAACAACAAGTTAACATACAGACTCCTTCTACGAGCTATACAAGTATTTTACAAACCTGTTCCAAGAGCCACACCAACATTGCACACCCTCGACGTCTTTCTTATCTGACCCATATATGTCTGGTTTTGGAGTCTCTACTAACGAGCTGATGAGTCGATTCAGGTGTGATTGATTAGGAAGAGTTGGAAAATGTGTTGTGTTTAACCACTGAACCATCGTGGCTTTCACAATATCATCTGTTGTTTGGTGCAGTTTGTTGGATATGCATTTTAACATAGGCAATCTAAGATTCAAACGCAACCATTTATTTATTGGACTCTTTTGAGTTTATTGAGGGCTTTGTTTTCTGTGATAAAAATATTAGCAACTGTGGGATTTGGACCAAGAACTGAATGAAAGACAAATGATTAGCCACTGAGCCACGGCATTTGTGATGTTTGATATGGTTCATTGTGGTTGTTTTTTAGTTTAGCAACAGCATTCATTAAAACAACAATTTATTGTTCAGCTGCTAGAGCGTTTTTTTACAGGGTTGGAGATAAACTCAGGAAAGTGGCTCGTCAGGAGCAGGATTAGGGACTTTTTTTTAAATCTCTTTCCTCTTCATGCTGTTTTCATATATTAATGCAGATACACTTAGTGTCCACAAGGTGGGGTACATGAACACATTAATCTGGTCTCTGGTTTCATGCACACATGCCTGCTCTCCATCCAGGATTCTCCAAACACTTGTCCTATGTAGAGAAGCTGGAGTCTGTCTGAAGGCAGAGAAACACAGGACACTGTGTCTGTTATATTAGGCAGTAAAAAGCGGCCATTAGACACATTTATAGTCAGCTGTTTTACCACAATAATAATATTTTATCCCAAATATTAAACAATCTTTACTATAAATGTAAAATCAGTGTAATTTTTGTGTTTTTGAGTCTGTAAAAGCGAGTCTCGCTCCTCCATTCACAACATCCATACTCACGAGCGTCCAGAGATCCAGAGACTCACGTGCTCCTCACAACATGGTTCCTCATCACGTGACAGACAGACGAAGATCCAGCCAAGATTGACTATAAGTGCTGCACGAATCTGCTGCCAAAACTACACAAAGTCATTGTCTCATTGTCAAAGTATGTGCGACGCTTTGTAATATAATCAATCTGAAGCTGAATCAACTTTGTGTCTCT